TGCTAGTCACTCAGCGTTTTGTTCGGAATTATTCTGCATTGCTAATTCCTCCTCAGGTGCCATTTATCATTGTCCCTGATTATCCCAGAGACTGAGACAGAGACAGAGATTATCCTGGAAAAGGCAGAGGGGAAGCAAATCAGGGTTGCACACAGAGAAGAATTCAGACGGAGTAACGCTTATACAGGTCCCAACTTGTTTCCAAATCCATTTGTGCCATTCACTTTACTGAGATGAAAGGAATGGTTTCAGTGAGTTATGGGGATTGCTGATGCATGAGAGTGCAGTTCTTAATTTAATCACTTGTCAAGTGCACTCCTTATTGTAACAACAAAAGCAACAGTTAGATCAATTGCTCTGACAAACACAGACCAGGGACCTCCAATTCTCTGCACTCCCCGAACATCCCTGGAGATTCATGTAATGCATTTCATGCCTCCCTTCTGACTTCCCCTTTCCCTTTTGGTGCTAGCAATACACTGTCAAAAAACTAAGAAACAATTCTACACCAGCCTTCATAAAATCTGACACATTCAGATGCCTTCACTCACCATAAGAAAAGCAGAAAAAGCAGACAGTTGACAGAGCATGATCTGCTTTATTTGCTGCAGTGTATGTGCACACCTTCATTTATGGCTTATAAGTACATATTACAACATACAAGCCATTCTGGTAGGTTTTCAACTTCTGTCATGTGCCAAATAAGCCATACTGTACCTGATGATCGATGTTTACTGTGTGGCACACAACCCATATTTCACCAAAGAAGAAAAAATAACTGCACCAAGCGATTACATATCAACCTCATTAAGATAAAAATGAACAAAAAAACAGTGCCTGTCAAAACATATATTTTCTATTATATATCTGAATGTACAGTAGATAGGGCGATTCTACACAGAAGCAGAAGTATGGCAGTATATGACAGTGCAGTAATGGAGCTAATCGCAGTTGTAGTAGTAATATAATGCCAATCTGGGCTGAAAAGGAATCTATGCATCACAATATTCCCTTCAATAACAAACACAGTATAGTTTATTCATCCCATTCTGGAATTTCTTTGATGGTACTTAACCCTTCAACTCCATCAAATCCTGTAAGAAAACGAAGGAATTATTTGCAATTCACAGGCATGTCTGAACACCCACATTAAGGCTCGCCATAAAGGCTGCATTCTGCATCGTCAGACTGTGGTCTATTCTCCATCTGATAAAGACTCTGGGAATGTTGTTCCACAATCTTAGGTCTTCACGGCTGGGTTATTGTAACACCTTGCTCCCTAATTCCGAGCTGGATAGGTTTCATTCAGTGAACCAGTGCCAAAGCCAGAGGTTTTGCTGGCACGATCACGCCAGGTACAGTATCTACATAATGCAGTGAAAAGATTGTTCCTGCTGTATGTAGGTTTGATTATAGAATTTCCTGTGATGCCTGTAGAATTAGTGCTATATGAAAGCAAATTGAACTTTGTTGTTAGCCTAGTGAGTTTTAAATATGGTTAGAATTGTGCTGGGTTTGTGCTAGCTGGTCGGAATATCAAAAGGCTTTTCCAATGATCAATATAAAGCAAAGCAGTTCCTCTAAGATGGGCTAAGGGGATGATGGGAAGCAGACTGCTGGATTACAGACAACTGTGCCCCTGTGTTTCTGAGAAGTCAGCCGGCAGCCGGTAACTGCTGTGCAGGCCTCTTCATTCCTGGCCTGCCTGTCCCCCCTGGGCCTCCCTCAGGTACACTTCACTGCGTAAAAAGTCCAACTCAGCCGCAGGCCTTTGCACAACGGTGGCCTTTTTTCTTCTTTCTGCTGCTTGACAGGCCGTTTTTTTTTCAGTTTTGACAGGAAAAAAAAGAAAGATTCCTTATCGGACAGCTTTTTGGCTTCGCTGCGGGTCACACCTCCCATCTCCAGCCAGGGAATGCCAATCCCTGACCCTTAGCCACACAAGGTGGTGGGCTTGGCTTGAAAGAAGAGGAGGAGGAGGGGTGGAGTAGGCTGGTGGGGGTGAGCGGGGGAATTTCCACAGGCTGTCAGGAAAAGGAGGGACTTTGGCCCTTGCTCTCAGACAAGGAAATCTCACTTCCAGCGAAGGGTCTGCTCTCATACGATGTAGGGAGTGGGAGAACAGGACTAGGTGATGGTCATCTCTCCCGCTGCCTTCCCTTCTGTCCTTATTCTCCTGAAAATGACTGCTTCACTGAGACATTCATACAGGGCTTCATGCACAGCAAACGTGGAGCAACCTGGAAACAATTAAAGACAGGGAGAACATTTTTGTAATACAAGCAAATTCCAACTGCAAAAATTTACCATCTAAAAAAGACTCCCTGCGCAGGCCAGGCATGTGTTCCTGCAAGTATGTGTTCCTGGAAGTATGATAACCAACTGAAACATTTCTCATCAGCTAGTCGGGATTCTGACATGTCCATTGCATATGATTCAGCAAACCCTTGTGCTGTGCCAGTAGAGCTCTGATCTCCGAGCTGGTGGGGGAATTTCCTTCAGCTGAAACTCGTGTCAAAAATTCAGCACCGTGTGTGCGTGTGTGTGCTTTTTTTTTGGACGAGCACAGCCAGTTCAGCCAAACAATCCAATTTCTTCTGGCTTAAGTTCTCACATGGAGCTTTCCAAGCTGCAGCTCATCTCCTGGAGAACTTCAAATGGGAAATGGGCCCACTTTCAGGGAAGCTTAAGGCAATGTTTGGAAAAACAAACTCCGCAATTTGATATGTCCAGATGCTCAGCCTTGTTTTGCTATTTTATATACTGTTGTATTCCTCGATGAAGAGCTTGTACATACAGCTGTTGGCTGGAGATGCAGCCACTGATGCTAAACAATGGAAGATGATAGTAAAGCAGAATGTGTTCATTTTTTTGGGCACCCAAACCAATTCAATTTTGGTTGAATTGGGTTGGGTGCCCCCTCTGTCCCCAAGAGGTGTAACTGAGTTCCTGGTCAAAGTTGATGTCTCAGTTAGGCCTCATTTAATATTTAAGAGAGAACTTTCAAAATATCTTATGATATGTGGTAGATCTTACCTTAACTCGAGTCAATACTTATTCTCCGATCCCTTCATGTGGCCCAATTAGGTCACATAACTTGTAATACCATGTCAACCACTGGGTGTGTCGCAACTGACAGGACCATCAAAGTGGTCTCCATGTTTTTTTCTGACAGAAGTGAACTTGCGTTGCCCCTCGGACACAGTGAAACATTCTGATTTGGTCCAAAGGGTTGTGGGATGGTTGTCCCCGTTGTTCAAAATCATTGCTGTCAGGACCCAAAGTGAGCTTAAAATGGCTCAATTTCATCTTGTTTCTCTCCCTTTCTCTTCAGGAATGTTGTTACCAATGTAATGCAGTCTGGATTCTCTCCAGCATCCTCTCACACTCAGCTCACCTGACGTGACACAGTTTGCTAGAGAAGCCTGAGGGCACTGCTGGGAAAACTAGAGAGGCATTAACATGCAGATTAGTGATTAGTGCGTCCCACAGCCATGCACAGATTTCGCTGTGCAACCTCTTTAACACAAGTCTCTGCCATTGAAACACACAAGACAAAGGAACAAAATGAGCAGAAGACCCAGCGATTAAAAACTGTCACATTCAATTTTATTGTTTTACATAGACAATAAAGAATACAGTGGTTAGCTCGCTCCTCCCTTTCTTTTACAGAGCAAAACAAAAAACAACACAACAGATAAATATAGCTTTTCTAGTTTATTATAGCTGGCTCAGTCTCTATATTCATTAACAACTGAAATGCACAGTACCTGATTGAAGCATATCTGTGATTGGACTAATACTTTCAAAGCTCGGGCAGTGTATAATGCTTTATTTACATTCATTGAATCTAAAGAAAAAAAGAGAAATTTACAAAACAGTTAAAAAAAATACTGATTGGTGACATGAGGAAAAAAGACTCCATTTCTTTTTTCAAGTGCCATTAATGACAGTTACACATGGCGCGTCGCATTTACACATTTGACTGATTGCATTGCTGCTTGTGTAATCCAAGGTGCAAGTGTGCCTATTTCGAAAAGAAAAAAACCAGAATGAGATTCAGTCACAGTTTTTGCTGGGTGATTTGAGAAATATATTCCATAAAATATATTCTGTATCTATCAGAAATGGGGAATCGGGAAACAGCAGCACACCTGTGATTCGCTTTAATAGGCACCAGAGCAGAGATACTGTACCGGGTTGCTTACACTATACTATATATATGCAAGTAATAGGTTTATTCCATGCTGAAAAAAAGAAGAGAGAAAACACAACGTTTCGGCCGTGGAGCCTTCTTCAGGTGTCACCTCTTTTTTCTCTCTTCTTTTTTTCAGCATGGAATAAACCTATAACTAGTTCCTTTGCAGCCTATGCATGCTGACGCAGCTACCCACCTGAACTACTACTATATATATATTTCTGTGGTGTTCCTCCTACAAATGCATTTAAAAGAACTATGCGGGTGACAGAACAGTTCTCAGACAGAACTGGACTATGTGGATTATGCATCCACCCATTTCCCAATCACTTAATTCATTTCGGGGTCGGGGTCGGGATGACAGTCCATCACAAGTCGCAGACAAACATGTACACACACTGACATCAGGACCAATTTTCCCAGAAGCCAATAAACCTAGCAGTATATCTTTGAGGAAAGCCACACAAATTCGAGGAGAGCATGCAAACTCAATGTAGTTCCCCAGGTCTGGAATTTAAATTCTATTTCTTTTTTCAAGTGCCATTACTGACAGTTACACACATCACATTGCATTTATACATTTTACTGACTGCATAGCTGCTTGTTTAATCCAAGGTACAAGTGTGCCTATTTCAAAAAGAAAAAGACCAGAATGAGATTCAGTCACAGCTTTTGCTAGGTGATTTGAGAAATATATTATATAAAATATATTCTGTATATAGAGCCCCAGTTCTGCGAGGCAACAATGCTAACCCCTGGGTCACTATGCTGCTCTGTGTGGATCTAAAAATATCTTATTTTCCATTGTGAGTTTGAGGAAAGTTCCAAGTTGGATCTGACCTGGGTTTCTGCCTCTATCTCTGCCCTCTATCCAGGTAGGAACAAGGGCTGGAATTTTCCCCGAAAATCATGCTGTGATGCTCACTTAGAGACAAAACACAGTCTAGGTAATTGCATTCACTCTCCAGCCCTGGCAAGGATTGCTTTGGCTTTTGTAGTCACTCAGGAAGCTAAACTAACCCGGAAAAGGTCTTGTAACATTCACATTAAAAGCCCCTTGGCAAGATCTTTCCATCACTGAATGAACGTTAATGGAGTTTTAGACATTATGCACTTTGAGAAAATATAAATACAAGAGCCCTGTGCAAGAAAGAAACACAGTTTGTATATCAAAGAAATGCATTTTTCTTTAAAAGTAACTAACCCCCCCCAATCTACATCCTTGGATTGAATGTGTGATTCTGAAAAGCAGTCTCCACACTGAGGAGATTTGCAATAGTGGTCTATTATTGGCGTCTGAAAGTGGAGAATGCAGGATTGATTCCAATACACTGCCCAAGGGGTAATTTATGTTTGTGTATAAACTATGAAAAGCACAACATATATAAACCAATGTGTGCATGTTTAAATATCAGTGACAGATTAGAAGATCACAGTCCAAGATTGCCTCATCTTTTTTTTTACAAAAATGCTATATGAAACAACAGTCTATTCAAGGGGACTTCAATAAACCTGAAGGCTTTGTCATGGTAGAGTGCTCCTGCAGTATGGGGTAGTTAGGGTAACACGCACTGACCCCAATGGGAGATGCAGTGCTGACTCTCCTATAAGGCACTATGGAGCTTGAGATGTTTCAGAAGAGGGTTTGCACAGGTTCCTACTCCCCCCTGCAGCACAGAAGATGTACCAGTAAACTGAGCCGGCTCACAATTACTGTATCTGTATGAGGTGGGCACAAAATGCAAAAACGATTACTCCTTGCAAATGACAAATAAAATCTTTTTTTCCCCACAAATCTAACTCTAACAACTCTAATCCAGCAGGTGCCAGGAGTTGAGGTGTGCAGACCAGTCAGCTCTTGCAGTGTCCAGGCCATTGTGTGGTCACAGCTAGAAAATGTGACATCTGAGTTATAAGGGTCAATTTGCACTGTAAGCAAGCCCCTTAACTAGTCAAGCCAATAGGAAGTCCCACCCTTTGATAACATACACAGCCTCTAGTTCCAAACTTAATTCCATATTCCCAAAACAATGTCCTGTGAAAAGAGTATCATCATTACAACACAAGCAGTACAACAAAAGCATCACCAACAGCATATAACAATGCAGCAGTTCTCTAGGCAGTATAACACAAGGAAGGCTGAGTGTCAAAAAAATGTCCAAAGACAAGGACTTGGACTGGGAGTGCCCCCTTCAGACCTTGCACAAAGAGAAGTTGGGGTGGGGATCTGCAGGCTATTGTAACATAATTTCCAATCAGCAACAAACACTTAATACTGTTCTGGTGGGCTTGTGCATGCAAGCAACAGACAGTGGAAAGACCACTGGAAAGCAGAATTATAGAGTGGAGATAAGTGCCTGTGCTGATCAAGCGCTGTCTGCCCTTGCTTAATAGATCAGTGAGCAAGCAAATTGGGGTCAGAGGCCACAGTGTCCCATTTCAGAAAACACTGCTGTTGCATGTCCCTGCAGCAAAGTAAAAACATGTAAGGCTTAAAATGTTATGATGATGATATCTAACAATCTTTTCTATTCTGAACAGCTTCTTCTCAAAGACCTTTGAGCTGCATGTACATTATATATGTCTGTATCTGAGAAACACATTTTCATGGTCTTGTAATATTGGAAAAGGGCAGGTTTTTATTTAGCACTTCAGATGAAGAATAGCCCTGGGTTGAAATTTATCTGGAGTAGGTAGTCTAATTTTATTTTTTTTAAATATAGAATTAAAAAGTTCCTAACTATTTAGGAGAGGTTTGTGGTTATTATTATTTAATATTGTTTATCATGTACTGATTTACTCAGTTTATTTACAAAACAATAGGATTATTTAAAAAAATAATAGTTAGCAGCGTGAGCTAGAAGACCCTTTTGTAAAAAATAGAACATATATTTATATATAAATTTATATATTTGTATGAAGTTTTGAAGTTTACAACGTCACTTTCAGGACAGGCGTTCCACACCTTGGCTCCAGAGTTCATGCTCAGTAGGCTTGCAGAGTCAGTTGGTCATTGTTTTGAATCTTTTCATTCATTGGATAAAAGTGCTTTAGAACTCAGTTCATTAAAAAAGCCCTTGGTCGTGTTCACAAAGCTAAGCACAGGTGGGATAAGGAAAGCTATTTTGAAAATCTACATCTACATTTTAAATATACATTTAAAATTTATGAGGAAGGCACTTCAGTGCCTGTGGTACCTCAGCCATATACCACAAGCAGAGAGGTTTTATTACAGAGGCAGGCAGCTACAGGGAATCGTGCTCTAAAATTAGCAACTGATTAACATTTCAAAAGGAAGATGATTTGACTTCTTCTTTTTCAAATAAATAGCTCAGTTAAGTTCATTTGCCCCTCCCTAATTTATGTTGGGTAAATTGGCTTGGAAACACGGAATGTCTCACTTGTTTCCTCACAGGCAGATAAACATCATCAAATGCACTACAGGCTGCTAGTCCAACAGGCTGACATTGAGTGGCATCTTTGGGGAGTTTGTCTGTCAAATGGTATTCCATTGGTCTGCTGATTTCTGAACATCAAAAAGCACACTCTTATCGGATACTACTCGATTGGATGGAGAAAAAAGTGAGCACTTCTGACTGTCTTTCAACATAAAAGTCAAAATGACAAGCTCACAGCATGGCTGGAGCCCAAAGTAACATCACCCTGTCAGCACTGTTTGTTTGAGAGGCCACTGGATACCGACACCCCCTTTCCTTTGCAGAAAACAGTAAGAAGCTGCTACAAAGGCAGCACAGTGTCCTCTTGCTTTGTGAACAGGACCATTGCCTCTGAGCAATCAGGCAACAGGTAGCACTCTTTATCTCTGGAGCAGAAGAGTGGCCAGCCTGCCCCTTTTTCTCCCAGTGTGGGAGATAACATTACCCCCTCGCCTCCGCACACTCCATCACTTTCTCTTCTCCCCCCTTTCACAGCGAGATGGACGGACTCTCTTCTCTCCTCTCTTTCTTCTCCCAGCTGCTAAGTCATGTCCACTAGATAGATGCAAGGCCTCCTCCTCCTTCCTCCCCCTCTTTAGTCTCTTGTTCCCTCATTTGTCTTGCCTCCCCCTCTCCTCTCCTCCCTCTCCAAGTCGGGCTCACATGCTCAGTAGGTTCTAGGGCTTACTCTGTCTCCCTCTATCTACAGTGCTAACATACAAGTCTGTTGTGTGGTTATGGCGCTCACTCTCCTCTTCCTCTTTCTCCATCTCTCCTTCTGTCTCTCCACAGGGCTAACATACAGTCTGTTGGCTGGACACTGGACTGTCCAGTGAGTTGACGTTCTCAGTCGTTTCCTGGCTTGGAGGCTTGAACATGGTAGAGATATAAAAGGCCTGAAACAACAGAGAAAGGTCCAAAGCATTAGGAGGAAGGCCGTGTTAAAATACAGAACCAGAAATTGGCACTTGTCTAACACTACTTGGGCTTAGAGAGATGCTCCAGTGTTGTGGCACAGGAGCTTCCTGGCAGGTGTTAAGTCCCACCCACCTCATTTTCAACATGAAGGCCCACATCGCCCATGCAAAAGTCCCACCGGCAGGGACAGATCTCTCGATTACTAAGAGTACAATCATGAGACGGCAGAAAGACCCATCATGCTCCAGAACAATTGATCAATCGAACAATTGGACCTCGTTTTTTAATTGGAGGTTTATTGATCTGCCCCCTCTAAATGTACGTATATTTATAGGATGATATTCAAAACATTTTTTTGTTTTTCTATTGGATTTCCATCCACTGATCCATCCATTTTGTAATTGTTTTATCTAATATAGAGTTACGAGAGAGCTGGAGCCTATCCAGGCAGGTGGAATTGGATTTGCTTCATTTTATACACTGGCAAATAGATCCCACCTAGTTTTCCAAAACAAATATGTTTGTCTTTTTTCTGCAGGAACTGAATTTGCACTTTTTTAATTTTGCCATGTCTTTCAAATCAAGTGTTTCATTGACAATCACCCGGTAAGACATAATTTATTTTACTGATCTCTGCAGTGGTTCACACTCTGGTATAGGTTGGGCAGAATTTTTGAAAATTGCTGTCATCTATCTGGCCGTATTATCCAATTCAGGGTTGCAGGGGAGCTGGAACCTACCTCGGCAAGCAATGGGTTCCAGACAGGATACATTCTGGATGGGACACGAGTCCATCAAAGGACAGACACACAGCAGGCCCAATTGTCCCAGAAGCCAATTAACGTTACCAGTATGTTTTGAACTATGAAAGAAAACCGGAACACCCAGAGGAAACCCACACAAACCCGCAGAGAACATAAAAACTACAAACAGACAACACCCTGGGGAATTGAACCCAGGGCCCCAGCCCTGTGAGGCAGCAGTTATAACCACTGCACTACCGTGCCTCCAGATATCTATCCTATGACAGCAAAAAAGCTGAAAGAGCCCCCCTACCCAAACTAGCCTCCATATACAGACACTCACCACCCAGTATGCCACCAGCGCCCCCTGCAGGAAGCCAGTCAGCACGTCGGAAGGGTGATGTTTGTAGTCGGACACCCGTGTCAGCCCTGTGTACACTGCCAGGAGCACCAGCAGGAACTGCATGAGGGGGCGCAGGAGGCGGGCTCCATGCCAGGTGAACCGGGCCTGCAGATAAAACTGTAAGAAAGGGAAAGAAAAGACACAGGGGTAAGGTCCAGGAATTCCACATGATGCTTAAGCTCGCCTTCTAGCAGAGATGGAAAGACTCATTGATCGAAGTGAGGAGCAGAAGCCACGCAAGCCCACAGCCTTCCTGCAGTCCTCTGCAGCATTCAGCACTGATATCTGGAAAGGGATTTCTCATATGACTTAACACAATTCTCGGTAACAAAACGTGTTAACAAGCTGATAATTACCACCACTGTGTTGGAAGTGGCAATCGTTGTTCAGTTCAGAGTACTGCTACAAACTCCATACCAGCCCAGGAAAGGAGAAAACAAGCAGAAACTGTGGGCAAAAATTGCTCAACACAACAAGACCCAGAACACAAACAGTGGGCAGAGGTCTGACAGAGCTCATATTGAAGACACTAATCACAGTCTCCACCCCAGCCTAAATCTCGTAGCTCTCTGCCAATTAAGCAGAAGCATGTAATTGGGACCACCAATTAGTCAGTCCAAGGCACAACCTGGATTTGAACCAGAGGCCACCAAGGTCATCAAAGGGCTTTTTCTGGGTGAGCAGCTCAGTGGCATAACATGCAAACACTAGTGGAGGAGGTGATATACAAACAAGAAATTTCTCTATCAGTCACTCAGTAAACAACTATTTGTAAATTACAGGAAAACAATAAAGCCTGCTGCAAAACAGCTGAATATTTGTAATTGCTACTTCCCTAACCTTCAGGTCTACTTCTTTAGACTGTTGGTATTAACATGTTACATCACACAGATGACAAAACTGATGAGTTTTATCACTGAGTGAGACTGGAGATAGGGGTAGGGAAGAGACTGAGTTTAGTTAAAAAATGACACCTGTACATGCTTCATGCTGACCGAAGAGAAGACCATGACAACAATAGTTAGGATTGAGAGAAAGGGAGGGAGAGGAGGAAGGGCTGCATTAATTTATTAAACAAAGCGAATGAGAAAGTTTGGGTGCAGAAAATCATACAAGGACACCCTCACAGACAAACATGAACACACCCATCCCCAACAAGCCAGGGTGACTGTGCCCTTGCTTGCTTTTCTGGCAGGGTCCAACTGAGTCTGTATTATATACTTAGCCGCATCCCTGTGTGGTGCTGATAACCCCAGCTAGGTCACATGTTAGAAGCTCCACAGCTGCCAAGACACACAGAGAGGGCTGGGGCAGAGTTCAGCACGCAGCCTGAACGCATCACACACTTGCCTCCCATCAATGCCACACTCCACAGCACTGATTCTGGTTTCCCCCGCTTGTCACGCATTCATAACTCAGCAAAATTACAAAACGGGCTTTGAGAGATTTCACAACATGACACAAGTAGATCATTCCTGTCCAAGGCAGTCCAAAATATCTGTGTGACAATGCTGAAGCATTGTAAAGGCAGACAAAAATATCTGCTAGCAATGTAAGGAACATTAACATCCACCCAACAAAGCAATTTTGGACACGAAATCACTAAACTGTACATTCCATCTATTCTTATAAGTACTGTGGTTGTAAATGTAGTGTTACCCAAACGATAGGTTTATGTGGAGAATAAAGGTTGCACTGAAATTACTTTCCCAGATTGATAAGAAAATCACACCTGCTTCAGTTACAGTAAATATCCTGTCTAGAGGTTGGGAAGTGAATGTGACTCAGTTAAAGGACATGTGAGTGAAAGCTCAACCTTGTGATTAGGAAATGCAGGAGGCGTTGGTGAGTGTTAAGTTACAGAGGTGCTGATGTAAGCATGGCTACTCAGGCTCAGTCCCTAAATCAGGACATGTATAGAACACTCCAAGCAATTTCTCCGTCGCTCACATTTTGCAAGTGTAAGTGTGTCTGGCTGAAACTGAACCTTTACCTCGTTGGTGTTTCTGTGGTCTCCCTTTCTGTTGTAAGTGTGAACTTTGGTTTTCCAAAACTCCTCCTCATGAACTTTCAGACCCTAGACTTGGGCCTAGCTGCTCTGCAAAATGTCACTTGTACTTGCTTTTAACTTCGTGTGTAATCTATTGCTCTCTTTTGCATAGCAAATGTAAGAGTGACAAATGCTGATTTTTAGTATTCATTTTTCTTCCAAATCAACATTTCGAGAAAAGAGACATTTTGAATCACCTTACAAAAGCAGTACAGCCAGAAAAGACATTTCCACCAGCTGTTTAAATAATTAAAAAATTAAAGCCATGTTAAAAATATACAATCACTTTATCTATAAAGTTACAGAATTATAATTTATATGGTATTGAAGCAGGTTGTCTGTCCCTTTATCAAAAATGTACTGTCATCATGAGGCCGAACGTCTTGCACAAGCCTTCTGTGAACTGGAGTGATACTGTAGCAGATCATGGTAACAGAGAAGAGGCGGCCATTGGGTCCATGTAGATCACTTGGTTTATAGTGGATTATATAATATATTATAGTAGAATTTTTAATAGGATCCCATCCATTGATTTCTTGAAAGTAGCCAGGGTTATCAGCTTTAACATGTGGCTGGGGAATGTGTTCCACACTCCCAAAACCCTTTGAATAAAGATGCTCCTCGTGTCGAGCCACAGCCTAACTTACTACACAAAAAAGAGGTGCACATTATCCACATGAACAAATAAAGTTGGAGATGGCCAAACATCTTTTTTTCTAATTTGTATGCTCTTTTTCAGCTGTGTCTCTTAACTAACTCTCAAGAGGAATCTTTAAGGCTACAGCTGCGAAACACAGCTTAAGCTAAATGTAACCCCTTAATTTTCCTTTTAAGTGTTGACTGTAACCATTGAACAAAGCGTCTGAATACATTAAATAGTCTAGCTATGGAAAAACATACACAGGTGGGGTGCAGACAATTAAATATGATCTATTCTTGGTGTATTCGAAAATGTTATCCCTGATCCTGTTTTACACAGTTGATGTGGGGGGTACGATAAGATGCCTAGCTTTTAATGCAGTGCACCTCCCACCCCCAGTTTCTGACAGATATAAAGAAACAGACTATGCTAGCAGGATCACCATAATCCCTCCCAGAGGAGCTTGCTTGACACCCCTCCCCCAAAGGACAACAGCCCAGAAACGAGAAAAGGGACACAGATCATGAAAGATTAACCTTCCTCATCCCTGGAAGATTGGGAAGCCACCTCCAGAAAGAAGTGAATGCTGTGAGTGAGCCCCTATTTGCCCACTCCACCCCACAAATAATAAAACAGCCCCAACTCCTCACGAGCTCTGGCTCAGTTTTATGGCTGAGCTCTCCTATGGGGTTCCCTGGCACAGACAGGATACCCACAGAGCAGCGAACAGTTACTTTCGTTCACATTGCGTGCCACTGGCTTGCCAGGAACAATAGGCCATTCATGGCCGAGCTGTGTTTGAGGAAAATGCGAACGTGTACATATTTTGGGGTGTTTCAAAGCATGACTGCATCATTCTTTGTGACCTACCTCTTTCTACTCCGGACTAATGCAAGCTTAATCATAGCATGAATAAATAATGCTTTTACAATGCACTCTTTCAAACAACCAAGAAATTGTAAAATGCATTCTGAACCCTTTTATATTAAGAAGTCCACATCACAGTCTAATGATTAACAATGTGTTTTGTGTCTCTTTGTTTCCTTAAGGGAAAACAGCACTGGGAACAAGGGGAGAGACATTTTTGAGGTACACCTTCCACTATTCAATATGTGAGTTTTCTCTTTAAGGAAACCATCTTCTACTTCTTGCTACTGCTTCAGTAGTGCCTGTAGTAAATCTTCCAAAATCTGCTACAGTTGGCAGAATGAAGTAATGTCAGAATCCAGCAAGAAAACATCAGATTAAGAGAAGTGGTGGAAAAATGTAGGTGAAATGTCACGCTATCGTCTCCAATTTGTTCAAAGGCTTTTAAACGTGGCGTCACGCTGAGCCTACCGTTCGGTTTTCTTACAGACTTAAAGAAATAGGACACAGGGAGCAGAAAAGAAAAAGGAATTCAGGGGAGAAAAGACAGGAAGGTGGAGAAAGAGAGAAAAGACAGACAAGGAAAAGAAAGAGAGTTGCGAAGGAAAAAAAAAGGAGAGGTAGAGATGGTGACCCAGCTTTTTGTGAATGACTCCAACCTCACTCGCTATTCTCAAGTGTCACTCTAAAGCCTGGTTGATCCCCTCCACCCACCCCTGCAATGGCCTCCCTCTCTCACAATGGCCAACAGACAGAGCCGCAAGTCTCTGAAAGAGGCCCGTCTGTCTTTCCCAGCGGGGCTGACATCCCCCATCCCTGCCCCACGCCAACAGCCTGCACGTCTCCCAACAAAGATGGCTCTGTTTGTCCAGGGTGGGGGGGTTTGGTAGCTGTTCTTGCTACCAAAGTAAGAGACTTTTTTTCTTACAGGGATTCTAACAAATGCCTTTTTAGAAAGTGCTTCTTTATAGATGATTGTGTTGAGTTTCTTTTTAAACCCATTGATGTGTCAAGGCTACATTCTGGGCATTCTGGAGCCCTAATGTAGCTCTGGCAGCTTCAGGGCCTGGCAGAGGAGTTCTTCCCCCTAGAAAATTGAAATTCCTTTCCCTGGCGTGAAGAAGGAGAACTCATTAAAAGTCAAGATTATGTGAGAATTGAGCTTCAAGCACACTAATCCACTGCTACATTCCATCTTGGTAGCTTTGCAGGTTTTGATTGCCCCATTAGCTAACATTTTTTTTCCTGCGTTCTACACACCTCACCGTGTTTAAACTCGATCAAGCAACACTTCCAAGACTCCTAACATCCTCGTCAGTCACGGTTAGGTGCAAACCGTGATTCAGCTAGCCGCTAACATTACTACTGCTGCAGTTTGCAGATGAAAACGCATTACTAGACAAACTAAAGAGTACAGAAACCTTCATAATGTTGTTTGGAAATCTCCAGTGTATCAAACAAATTACAACAAGTTTCCATCTTAAGATGAGAGCTTAAAGTTGACACACAGGGCTGTTAATGTACACAATCGGTTATTGTGTTTGGAAACCAGTAAGTAAAGAAATCAGGAACAACCTATTGAGCATTACTAATGCTTTCATGTGAATCAACAATTATTTTTACTGTTACTAAACAACCTGCAAAGCAGCACAGCTGAAGATGACTGTAACTCAAAGCTTTTCTAGTGCAGTTCTGCACCCAGCGTATTTTCTAAACCTTTTAAAGCTTAAGACCCCAGAAGTGGGTTCAGTTAGGCCAGTTGAGACTTAAGGAGCCCAGTTTCTCAAAAGAGCTGAAGCTGTTGATGATGTAAAGTAGTGAATCAAACCTGGAGACCAGGACCTGTGGCCCCTGCTCTATACAGTTTTGAGTTCAAAAGTGAGCAAGGGCAACACTATAACTTTGTTATGTTGCTATCACAGAAAGACAGGCTTATTCAGCTAATTGAAGTCTGAGATAATGCTATCCAAATAACTTTTTTTAAAGAATAAAAAATTACATTCCTCATTGTTTAGTGTGTGCTTCTTCAACATTGTTCCTAACTGCTTGGACACAATACGCCTACTGAAACAATCCAGTAGATGAATTCCAAATCAGAAAAAGTTTCTAAAGAATTGATTTCATATAGCCAGAACATCAGTACTTCCATGACAGCTCGGTTGTGTAGTACTACTTAGTGCAGTGAAATTCTCCAAACAGGTTTCCTCCTTAGTTCCAGAGCAAAACCTGGCTGAAAGCAGCTCGCTGTGTGTTTTCGGAATATTAAAATTCCCATCACCGGGATTTATTTCTGTCCTGTGCCCTGAACATAGCCAAATGCTAAGACCATTTTTACATATCAGGTGGAACAATAACATCTTGTCACTCAAATCATGGAGAGACCCAATAGGCAGCACAGAGCTTTCCAAGCTGAGAGCTACAGTTAAAAACATTGAGTGCATTCAGATACACTATTGAGAAACAATACTGAGGTTGATACATTGATCAATACAATCAGAGACTGAGCAACAAAGGGACTGTGAAGACTGTGATCACAGAGGGGTTTTTCTAGTTGAAGCAGTGAGGCTGGTGTATGAGAGCAGAAAAGAGACTCACCGCCAGGTAAAGCATGGTGTACATAGCGAAGGAGGCGTGTCCAGAGTAGAAGGACTTCCTGCAAGAGAAAAAAGGAGATTTTGCAGCCACTAAACACTCCATGCAGTAACATTGACCAGGAAGTGGAAATCTTAACTAAACTTTTACCTGCAGCCTGACTACTATGTTATGAATTCCAAGAGGAATGGTCAAAAGCTGTTCTTACATTTTTACTCCACTATATATACACAGCGATAATTGTCTCTGAGTCTCACACATGCAAAGATAGCTGAAATCCATCAGCTAAGAGATGTAGCTATAGCATCAGCTCAGTTCTGAAAACTAAGAAGATACAGCTGTAACACTAACACCGAAGTTGTATTTCAAGTGGGTGTTTTTAAGTTATACACAGGATGCTAATTTCATCACTTTAATAGTCTAACTGTGTGAAAAGCATGACAAACTGACAGAGAAAGATCATTTAATGAAATTTCCATGAGTACAAGACATAAGGATAGGAGAATATATTACGTGAAGAGGTGCTGACCTGGCTTCTGTCACCAGCTTTGCGTATTCCTCATTATTTTTAATGGATGGGCACTCAAAATTAACAATATAGCTGCCCTCTGTGCAGTTCAGATTGCTGTAGTTCAGGCCGCACACCGATAGGAAGTTGGGCCGCAGGCGCCCCACGCTGAGCTTGGCCATGTTGGTGAGGGACTGACCCACACAGCATCCAAACAGGAAGCTGCCAATCTCCTTGTACAGCGTAGACACGTACAGGTTGGTGATGAAGGCCCGTGACTTCACGTTGAGGTATCGGACCCGGTAACACTCACCCAGAGCGATCTGAGGGAGAAGAAAACAGCCATAAAGCTAAGCACATTCACTATCAACCCCAGCACAACAAACTTCAAACAAACTCTAACAAAGTTACATTTTTTGCCAAGAACAGGCCGTTCAGCCCAACACTGCTCACTGTGTTATATATATAATGTGATTCTGCCACTGCAATGTTGTTTGCTTTTAAATTGGACTTTTCTTTGACCTAAGAATCAGTTGTTAAACCACCCCCAATGAGTTATTTTATCCTCTAATTTGAAACAACAGTTTGACTCAATTGAATCTAATCCTTTTAAAATTGAAAAAAGTATCAATCAGAATTGCCCTTTATAATTCATCCCCTGGATTCTGTCGTCTCCCAACTTGAGTTGATTCTTTTCATTTACTAAGCTTGAGCCTACACAGGACCAGACAGAGATTGCCTGAGCTGAGCCTTCGTTCTCTCTTAGGTCTACAATATCCAGTCACTTTCATTACTACTGCCTGCACAGTGAGGTAACAGGATATGTCACAATCTTCAGTACTAGCACGAGCTGCAGCAGTGTGCGATTTTGTTCATTCTATATTCATTAGAAATGAATGGGGTCACGTCAAAAATAGTTTAAGAAGCTACCAAATGCCTCAACCTGTAAAGGAAACTCACTTCAAGTACGGGTTGAGTTCTATGGTCCATTTTTGTCAGTTTGAGCCTCATGTCAGTAACTGATTGCCACAGCAATTTCCCTAGTAATCATGCACTGATGACTGATTGCTGTTAGGGGTGGATTGGGTGGATATATAATAAGAGATATTCAATTTCAAATAAATGAGTCACAGGGCTGAATGATAATCAGAAACCTGCAGCAGTAAATAAAGTAGTGTTGTTCTAAGAGACAGATTTTCACCGATTTGAAGATGAGGGATCTGTGCAGGTAATGTCTTTCTCTTTTTTAAGGTAACAGCCAATAAAGAAGGCTTTGTGGGGAACTTCGAATCAGATTGTAAAAATCTTGTAAGCACCTGACAAAGTGAGCAAGGTAGTAAGAAGAATAGGACACAGAATAAGACAAGTGCATTTGTACTCATTTAACATTACTCAAATATTGTAACTTTTCTAACATTTTCAAAACGCTAAGAGGTGGACGTCTCAAGAGCTACAGGATTGTGACAGATGGAGACTCACACTCAGGCCAGTGATGATAATGCCCCCAGAGATGAGAAGTCCATCAGGGATGGACTCTGTATCCAGATAAGGGTAGGCAATGCTCTCATCCTTGCAGAAAAAGCCACGCTTGTATGGCTCCACAGTCTTCAGCTCACAGGCTAAAAAAGGGATTGAGGCTGAAACACAAAAATATTGGGGGAGAGTTAAAGGATTACCCATACAATGACTTACTTGCAAGATAAAAATTGAAATCAACTCTGTTCGGGAAGAGTTCACCCTCTTGAAAGGTAACCTGCTCCAAAAAGTTACCTTAATTGGAATAAACTGTCTGATCTTGAATCAAAAAAGAGCAGAGGCATGAAATTAAGCTGCCTAAGCTGAGCCCCCTCCTGCCTTATTGTCCAAATTAGTTAACCAGGAGAAAAGACTTTGTTTAAATGTGGAAATGGTCCCTTTTTGTATTGCTGATCATGATGAGGAGAGGACAAAAAAACATATGTAGACAAATAGATTATGATGAACTACAGCAAATAAAGAAACTCTAAAAATGACATAAAACTTTTTTTTCACTGTATTAGCCATACAAATACAAGACATTTTTTAAAATAAGCGATTTAAATTGTCCTCAATTCTCCAATATCACCTGTTTGTTTGGAGTTAGTATTTTTATGAGGACCTTTCCCAAATTTTGTCCCTGCACTGACAGTATTGTGTTATGTTCTGGATTTTCAGCAGTTGCCATGTTAGAAAAACAGTGTTTCCACTGTTGCCATGGTGGGAAAGTTCGGTGGTAATTGAGTATGTACGGTATAATGCGCTTGCAGTGCCAGAGCCTTGCCGCATTTAAATGCTTTTTTAGGACGCCTTACATCGTTTTCTGTGTACAACATACTACACACGATCACATGTCCACATGGACACACAAATCATTTTACTACAAATATGGCACCTTATGGAAATGCAGGTAACACAAACAAAACTAAAACTAAAAACACATTTTGACCAGTTTTGGAATATATAATATTGCGTATATTATTCTAGATGTTGTATAAAGATGTCCAACCTTACATTAACACCAAAAGACCCCCCTCCAAAAAAAGTAGTCCATTTGAATAAGTGTGTTCTAGCTGTCTAATTTATTTTAAATTAACAATGCCCATGTTTTCTCATTATGCCCTTTTCCACCATTATTTTCACTAAAAATATTTTGGTTTCACATGCACAAGAAGCAGAAGTTATAGAATTAGAGAACTCTCACCCAGCTGTACACCCACTTTCTAATGCTTATACATGAGCCTTTCCTGTACATTTAAACCACGTTTGTTACCACAGTTTGTCACCTTCATAAATAAAACAGGTGAAGTCACAGGGGATAATCGGGCCAGAACTCCTGCTGGTTTCTGTAGCGTTAAGGAGACTCACAAATAAAAAGGATTACATTTCTTCTCAGTGACGATGATACTCTGCTTATATACAGACTGATTTTGTTTTTATGTCCTCGCTGCGAACACTGCTGTTGTACAGTATGTTAAGTGAGGTACTTCAGTGATTCTAGTCAGCCCTGCTGTAAAGTGGGGACCACCATTTTGGGGAATTTTGAGTCCAAAACAGGGAGGCACTCATTTGTTCTCAGCATACAATACAATACAGTCAACTTAACTCTACAATAACTGGGATGAACTCTGACCCAATGAGCCTCAGCTCTCCTATATGGCATTGACCTTGACCTTGACCTAAATGCCTAATCTTTAAGTAACAATGGGAGTAATCAAATTTCCATAGAGCAAACTGAGGTGTGGGACCTTTGTACCTGCAATGCGTACAATTCATTTGTGTCCCATTGTGAAAAAAAAAACATTTTAGTTATCTAAGACCAAGATAAAAATGTGACGCACTTTGAGGCAGTTTTGGCAAAGGCACTGCTGGGTCACAGCAATTCATTTAAATTTTACTCAATCGACATGACAGGTATGGTGATGAGATTGCAATTACAAGCAAGACAACAAAGGACAAAATGACAGGTTACCCATAACAGATGCAGTTAATATAGACCAGATAAAGCACAGGCAAAGCCAGAGACAATGTTGGCCATCATACTGAAGCGTGGGTACAAACTGGTGAACAGTCACAGCAAAGCAAGCATATGGCAATAAAAGCCTTCCTGGGATTATATATTAATCCAACACCATAAAATACACAAATTGAAAGCAAAGATAGACTACAGGATATTATAATAGGAGGATGTTGCTAATGTGGTATAAACATATCAATGCAAGAGAAATAATATTGCACTCCTTGGCCAATATATTAGACACTCTTGATTAAGTGAGTATCCTTTGAGGGGCAGTCGGACTATGTGGGACTAGGAGAGACTGGAGCCTCTAGATCTTGAAATCTCAATCCTATACTAAATGAAAAGACTGGCAAATTTATTTTTTGTGTCCTAACTAATGCTATGACCAACTCAGTACAATTTAAATTCTGTGTTTTATCAATGTGAATGTCAGAATCTGGTGATTTATTCATATATATGTGCATTATATGACAAGCCATAATGCTATACCAAGGAGAGAAGATATTTTCATAATATTGATTTCTGTTCCAGAATGCCAAAACCAACACAAGAATGTATTTCCGTTCACAGAACAGTATGCATCTGGTAATGCCAGTGAGTGTCTCTTGAACACGCACCTGAATCATTTCTTTAAAGAAGCTTGGTATTTTCTGACTTGCAATTGGCGGGGGAGCACACGTTGCTGAAATCATGGCATGGGACTGTGGTTGACACAGGGTGAGTACGTAAAAACCAGAAGGGAAATTCCTTTCTCTGACCTGGAGGAAACTGGGCTAAGGACTCCTGTCATCTCTGTGAGGAAGAATATGTGGTGGTGGTGATCCACTGAAATCACAGAATGATTCATCACTTTCTGAGATCACGCACCCTCAAAGTGAATAGGGCTTCCTATATTCTGAAGACATCTCACAGGGTTGTTGGCACAGACAGCAAAAACACATGTAAATGATTGAAGACGGACTTGAAACCTCGGCCTGCAGCAAGTGAAATTGAAAAAATTCTCAGATATTGCCAACTGTCATCATAAAAGTGGATTCCAAGTCAATTTAGGTAAAAAGTTGTATGTATTTACTTATTCTTGAAACCTGTAAAGTCACTGACCTGAAGGTACTTAATATGTTACTATTTTTACATTCATTAACATAGTTTTCCAGAGGGAAGGTAGATTTTCCTCTGGTTCAAAAGTCCTTTCATTCTGTTGATTTTGGAAAAAAAATAGTAGCCTTTTCCCCACTAGGAACAAAAACAATCACCCACAGAGGGATCCACCCTTGCCAACTGCAAAACCACTTAGCAGAGAAACACAGATGTAAATGAAGGATTGTAAATTAGATACAGAGTTGGAACAATAAGAAAATATTTAAAATCTTAAAACTCTGACAGACTTTCAGCATTTCACAATAATCTGTGTTTTTTCATATTTCCCTCTGCCCACGTCCTTTTGGAAATAAGGTCACCCTTTGCATAGTCAGAGCACGACAAAGCTTTCATTAAAAGAAAGATGCTGGTTATGTCAGAAAATTAAAAGCAAGAATTTTCCAAGAATTTTTTGTGTGTGATAATTGTGTGAAAACATCATATTTTTGTAGAGTAAATGCAAAAAATTAACAAAACCTCAGGGATCTGAATAATAACAAATGGAAACCCATTTACAAATATTACCTTGCTGCAACAAATCTATTTTCTAACGGTTTAATCCAATACAGGGTTGTGGGGGAACCAGAGCCTATCACAGCAAGCAATGGGCACAAGATTCAATAGATCCGAGGAGGACACCAGTCCTTTACAGGGGAGACACAAACACACACTGGCACACAAGGGCCAATTTTCCCCAAAGCCGAATAATTAATCACTATGTTGTTGGACAGCAGGAGGAAACCCTTGTAAACATGAGGGTTAAAAGATACGAACTCCACAGAGACCACCCTGGGTCCAAAATTGAACCCAGGGCTCCAGCACTGCAAAGCAGCAATACTAACCACTGCTCCACCATGCTGCTCCTGCTTCAACACAACATAATAATTAGTATATATTAATTAGTACTATACTGAAAGTGAATATTCTTCACTTGATCACAAAGAGAAATACAAGATCTTGGCCTATTCAAGCAGACTGTCATGAGCGATCACCCTATTTAGTTATTAGTAAAAGTAACTAAAAACTAACTTGAGTTGTCCCAATTGTCACCTGCTCTATGGAAAAAACTGAAAGTGTCTTTTAATTCACAATTTTCTATTAATTAGTAAGTCTAGATTGCAAAGCAGACATGGTGCTAATGCGTCATGAACTGCCTGCAGTTAAAAGTGGCTATCATTTACAAAGCAGCTGTCTCTTATAAAAGAGACATATGTGCCACATATGAGATAGGATGACATGTATATTGGAAGGGTTATGGCTCTTTCCTGATTTAGAAATAGTCCTGACATATCGGAGAGAGAAGGAGAGGCTGACCTTATAAGCCCATTCTGTCATGAAGTTTGACACTGGAAGGATCCCTCTTCTCTCTTATTTTCTAGATGCACTGCCATACAAGTTAGACTAAGACTGCATTCAGAAACTCACAAAACCCACTAAAGCAGGACAATGCCTTTTGGCAGTCTGAAGTTAGCTCATGAGGTAATTAATGACTGTTACAACACAAGCTCTCAAAGCTGTGTAATTCTAGGGCAATGTGACCCCAATCATAGATTACTTGGTCAGTTACAATTTAGGTGCCTGGATGCGAGAATCTGAGCTGATCTCTATTAAAACTATTGTTACCAGACTACGGGATAAAAGTTACGGATCTGATTTCCTTGCAAGGCCATGAAGCTTCCTCTCACAAACAGAGAGAGGTACTGTATACTGGGCAACCAAATGTTTAAGTGTCATTTCACAGAACTGGAAGTGAGCAGCCCATCAAAAAGAACACAGACACTTTTACAAAGCCCTGACCAGATGAATCTCTGAGTATTATGCTCCTTTGTGAAATGCACAAGAAAATCCCTTGAAGACAGTATAATAATAACCATGAACTGCAGACTGCTAGTTACAAAAACAGGGAAATAGCTAAAAAATAAGTTCCATTTTACCCAAGTGCAATTATTGTAATATTTGTTCCAT